CAATCCTTTTCTGGACAATTTGTTGATTGTTTTGAAGTTGAGATGGCTTAATTTGTTGTGCCATTCCCAACTCAAATTTGAATCTGCCTTTGTCATCAAGCAGATCCCTTCCTTAGCTGAGCTCCAATCAACAATGTACATGTCCTTCTTCCTTCTACCAGTGAGCACAGTTTTGTCATTTTTGACATCTCTAATCAAGCAGATGTCTTTGGAGAATGTAACATTATAGCCATTGTCACAGAGCTGGCTTGTGCTTATGAGATTGAACTTTAATCCTTTAACATAAGATATGTTTTGGATTGTAAGTCCATTGATGGATAGGTCTCCAACTCCTTTGGTTTCTCCTTGTTTTTCCACATTCCCAAAAGTAACTTTGGGTCCTTCGCTTGCCATATAGTTTGACAGGAGCCGCCTGCTGCCTGTCATGTGCCTGGAGCAGCCTGAATCTATGTACCATGTTTGTGGGTCAACTGCTCCAGCACCTTCCTGTATTCATCATTGTTGAGCAGTAGCCCACAAGTTAGTGGGCAACTTCCTTTGTACAAGTTTGGGCATCCATGCCCATCTAGAACCATTTAGTTCTAAGCAGATTGGTCTATAGCCATTTGAAGTATTATAATCATGGGGGATGGCTATGTAATTGTTAATCCTTTTTCTTCTTGAAGTGGAAAATGGATTATTGACTTTTGGAGGAGACTGCTTAGTGTTTTGACTGTGGTTGGTCTTATTGGTTGATTGCCAACGGGTTCTTGGGTTTTGATGGTTGGGAAGTTTTTGTCTATACAGGAGATTGGATTTTGATTTGGGAGCAGGCAGGTTCCTTCTTATGGGAACATTCTGAGAATGGGATTTTTGGTAGATTAGCTTTCTTGTATTTTGTTGGTGGCTTGTGGAGGGTGAGTTTTGAGTGAGTCTGGTGGGGGATACATATCCGAGGCCTCTTCTCTTCTTATTTAAAACAACTTCAGTAGTTGAGTCACTGGTTTTACTATTCATGCTGAAGTTATTCATTTTGTCTTTCAGCTCTTTGTTCTCTTCTTCTAAGACATTGTTTTTGGTTAAGGCATCTAGCAATCTTGTGTGAACAACCTTAATGTCTTGTTTTAATCTATCATTTTCTGATCTTAAGAGAACATGGTGATTTTGGACTTTTTGGAAATCTTGTAATAAAGATTCCAGTGTAATATTGGTTGGTCCAGAATCACTAGAGCTATAAGAAGAGCAGGATGTTACCTCAACATCATTGTAGTGGTTTTTGGCCATTAGGCATTTAGGGGACCTGTATTCATCATCTTCACTGAGCCATCTGCTACTTTCTCCAGTGAGCCAGCTGCCGCCTTTTTCAGCCACTTGCCAGGATCCCAGGCATAGAAGTGCTTCCTCTGAGCTTTCAGATGAAGAGCTTTCATTGCTTGAGCTGCTTTCATCTTCAGATTGGGGTTCCTCCTTGTTCTTTTCACTTACAAAAGCTTGTCTTTTGCTTTTGAAGTCCCTCTTGTAACTAGCTTTGAGACCAGTCGCCTGCTGCCCTTGATACTTCTGGGCTAAGGGCAGAGGGCATTCATTTTTGTAATGTCCTGGCTGTCTACAGTTGTAGCATAGAACAGTTTCCTCACTGGATTGAGGTCTCCCTTGTCTTCTAGGTGGCAGGTTGTATGCTTTCTTTGGAGCAGTTCCCTCCTTCTTCATGAATCTTTTAAATTTCCTCACAAACATAGCAAACTGCTCGTCAGTGAGGAGATTATTGAGGGATTTTTCAGCAGATTTTGAAGTGCTTGGCTCAGATACTAGAGCTAGTGTCTTGTATTCATCTTCCTTCTCTTCTTTGATCTCCTTCATTTCAAATTCATAGGCCTTGAGATCACTAAAGAGTTTGTCGGTTGACAGAGTTCTGAGATCTCTGCTATCTCTCATAGCAGTTACCTTCATGTCCCATTTTGATGGCAGGCCTCTCAAGACTTTGAGGGAAATCTCCTTTTGAGATAGTTCTTTTCCAAGGTCAGAGACCTCTGCCACAATCTTCAGGAATCTGGATTCCATCTCATGGATAGATTCAGTTGACAGCATTTTGAAATCCTCAAATTTCTTGAGGGCTATGGTCAGTTTATTGTCCTTCTCCTGTTCATCTCCTGCTCCAATCTTTGTGAGCTCATCCCAGACATCTTTGGCAGTTTCGCATTTCCTGATTCTGGGAAATATAGATTCATCAACAGATTTGAAGAGAATGTCCTTGGCAATGTTGTCAAGATTGTTTCTCTTCCTGTCCTCAGTTGTCCATTCCATTTTGGGTTTTGGAATGTACACATCATCTGTTCCTTCTGTGGTTCTGGATGTGATGACCTTCATTATTTTGATAGGTCCATCAGTAATTACTTCAAGCATCTCATCATGTAAAGCACTGAGATGTGCTTTCATTCTTATTTTCCAGTCATCAAATTTGTTCAAGTTGAACAGAAGGTTCTTTGCTAACTGACTGTCCATTTCAGAAGGTGTTTGGGAAGTAGAGTGGCTTGGATCTTTAGTTCGAATTAGTCAGAAACTGACTCTAGGAACACTCCGCTCTGATACCACTTGATGGTCCCGGATAGAGGTAAAAGTCTAGAGGGGGGGGGGGGGGGGTGAATAGACTTTTATAACTTTTTCGTCTTTAACAATTTTTCCCTTCTAGATGAGTAGATCTATAATCTTTTGGGAGATTAATAGATGCGCAGCGGAAGTCTTTACCCTTTTTATAATGAGTGTGTGACCACTTTCTACCTTGAATGATGTTTGGGCTTTAAACTGTGAGCAGTTGACTTGGCAGTTGGCTAGATGGCAGGGAACTGCTGAGGCAACTGCCAGTTGAAAACAGGAGTTTGAGAAAGATGATAATGTGGCCTTGCAGAGAATGATGAGGGCTTTCTGAATATATGTTGAGCTGAAGATAGTAAAGAGTTTTGCCTGAGCAGTGGTCTGAGCAGTTGGGTAATCCCAGGAAACTGCTAAGCCGTCTGCTGCTTATAAAAATGTATCTTTGAGGACTGACCAACTACACCTTTTAGTAGTGATATTTAAAGCTTGTGGGAAACAGAAGTCTCAAGGAAAAGTGAGTTATTAAGCAGTAGGATAAGCAGTAGAGTCAATTAAGACTACTGCTTAGGATGCTGCTGGCAAACTACGATCCCTTTAGTGAGAAGTGTTGAGTGTGTGTTTTAGTGAGTAAAGGAGAATCAACACACGATGTATCCTGGTTCAGAGGTGGTGTAATCCTCCTACATCCAGTCCCACCCTATTTCAGATGGATTTCCACTAAAGTATTAAGCCCAATACACTTAGTGCCAATCTAGCCTTTACAACACTTAGGCCTAGATTGAAGGTTTTTCACAATGAGTATAACACCACTCAAAGTTACTCAGTCCTTAGAATTTTCTCAATTGATCCAGTGGGGATCAAAAGGTACTCTATCTCTCTAACTACACTTTAGGATCCGAACAACTGTTCTCCTAAGTGTTTACAACCACTTGTGAAATGTTACAAGAAAGTTCTAACCTCCAACTATGAACTAAGCTCTAAAAATGTGAAAGTGTTGATCTAATCTAAGAGCTTAGTGAAGCATGAGGCTAAGCAGAGAGTAAAGTTGAGTTTGCACTTTCTCTTTTTGCTAGATAGCTTCGTATATGCTTTGATGGAAGTATTTCTCTGCTTAGGATGCTCAAGCTTATTTTGAACTCATGCTTCTACCTATATTTATAGGCCTTCATGGTTGATCAATCTCATCCGTTGGTTGAGATGGATTAATCTTGTGCGTTGAGGGTCTGGCAAGGACGAATTGTACATTTGTCTTCTTGTGCAGGAGCTTTGAATATTTTTGTTTTCTGTCTTGAATGATTGGGCTGCGGTATGGGTGTGTCTTCAGCCGCTGCAGCTTCACTCCAAGAGGTCCTCCCATGCTGTAGGACCGTGTATTTAATTTTTGTCTTCCAATCAATTTTTAGTGTATTCGAGCATCTCAAATGTGACCTATATTTAATCTTTAAGTAAAATGATATATGCCGGTAGGATTTAAATATCCTATGAAGGTAAAAAGATACCTTATTGCATTTTTATGTATCCGGTAATATATCATTAATCTTAAAGATTGTACATTTATTTTTGTCACTTATGATTTAAATTTAAATGTTACTTCTGAAAATAAGACTCAATGTAAATTTGTTTAGTATAGTGGCATCATCAAAATCTATCAAAATTGGAGACTAACAGTAGGGGTGGGCAAAAATACCGAACCGACATGATACCGAACCGGACCGGTATGGTACCGGACCGATAAACGGGGTTTGAAACGGATCTCAAAATTTTTTGTCCCGAACCGGACCGAACCGGTTCCAAACAATGCCATGACCGGTTCTCATAAAATGAGAACCGGTACCGGACCGAACCGGACCGAAGTGTGGTTTATTAAATTTGTACTACTATAGTTTATCTAAAATATATTAATTACCTCATCCGTCCCAAATTGATTTGCAAAGCCAACTTTTTTTTGTCAAAGTTAATGTTAAGTTCTTGATAATTAATACAATTTGAATAATTAAAATTTACATATTTAGAAACCACATTAAAATCTCTCTAAAGTTGCAAAATCCAAATTAAAATATACGAAGTACGAAGTAGTTTTTGAAAGGCCAAATTAGAATATAATTAAAAAGTGAAATTCCAATTAAGTGAATAAAAAGAAATTGTTTGACCAAAAAAAGATTGACTTTGCAAATCAATTTGGAACGAAGGTAGTATGATATATGAAAATTGATAAATTGTGTGTATTTTTGGAGGATGACTAAACTTTAATTTTTTCTTAAACACCTGAAAAAAGTGGCATTGGTTGGTATTGGTATGGCATGATACCGTCCCGTTTGAAAATGGACCGTACCGAACGGGTTTGAGTCTAAGACCGAACCGTACCGAACCGTTTCAATAGTAACGGCATGATACCCACCCCTAGTAGAAAGTAGAAACCGAATTTCTGAAGCAAAGTTTTTTTTTTTTTGAGAATATTTCTGAAGCAAAGTTAACCCCTGGAGAAAAAAGAAAAAAGAAAACTGCAGATCTGAAAATCTGATTGCTCGCATCACTACACAGTCTACGCCATTCACCTCTTCCCGCGTTTTCAGATCTTCCGATCGACTCCTCCTCCTGAATCTACGCCACGGCTATTTCTCACAGGGTTCGGATTGTCTGATCCTTATAGCTGGTACTCATTACAAATAGGTTGATACATAATGACATAATGTTGTAGTAATACTCCGTATTTGATTTCTGTAGCCTGTAGTCGTTCGAGTTTGATTTCATGATTCTTTATTCGTTTAATTTGTGTGTGCCAGTATCTCTAAACATCACAGTGAATAGAATATTTGGTTTAGGAGTTGGTTTATAAATACTTGCAAATTATAACTGTAAATCGTGATAGTTTGTGTTTAGAAAGTCACGTCCAGCCCAGCTAGTGGCGGACTCACTCTCCCTTAAGGGAAGGGAGGTTTCGGGTTCGAAACTCAATGGAGTGAGTTTTACTCTAGATTACTCCAGGCTCCCAGACGCCCTCCACGAGACGCCCTAGAGTCAAAAACAAGTCATAAAGAGAGCCGGAAGGCCAAATTCATGAATTATTAGCTGTGTTTTATGTTTTATTGGAGCCGGAAGACCAACAACAAACAACATACAAGCCTTATTTCCAAAAGATTTTGGAGTCGGCTAACATGAATTAATCCATGATATCAGAGTACAAAAGAAAAGAAAAATAAAAAATAAGGTAAGATAAAGATAAAGATAAGATAAAAGAATATAAGAAATATAAAATATAAAAAATAATATAAGAACATAAGAAAGATAAAGAAGATAAAAAAAATAAAAGAAAAAGAGAGAGAAAAGAGAGAACTAGATAGTTCAAATACAACAACAAAAACAACATCAAATCCTTATTCCCAAAAGATTTTGGGGTCAACTAACATCTTATGGGAATAAAACAACAATTCTCACCAACTAGATTTGTTTGTAAATAAAAATATCCAAGAGCAATATAAATTAAAAAGAGATTAAATATAAGTTTTAATATAAATTATAAACATAAGAAAGTCCCAATATGTATTCCTTACATGAGAAAGGGAAAATTTTGTGCAGATGTGTAGATGAGTAACAACCTTTATTCTTCACCTTCATTCATGGAGAGAATAAAGAGAATGAAGGTGAGCGTAGAAGGAGAAAAAGTGGTTCTGGTACCATACATGAGAGAGCACGTCCAGAAGTACCACGAATGGATGCAAGACCCTTCTCTCCTCCAAGCTACTGGTTCAGAGCCATTAACTCTAGACGAAGAATATGATATGCAGCTTTCTTGGACCCAAGATCCCTTAAGTAATAACTTCTTTTAATACTTCAACCAACTGATTTAATCTTTACTAAATTTATTTTGTTCTACTTTGATCTGGTTTGGTTGAAAATAGATTATTTTAAATATTCTTTTTCTGTTCCTGTTTCGGTTTTCGCAGAACATACCTTCATAGTATTGGACAAGGACCTAATTGTTGGCGACTTTTTCCATGGAGACCCTCACGTTGAAGGTCAGTGATATGGCCTTCCCCCTTAATATTAATTGATGAATAGTTGTTGCACGTTGGACCTACTTTTTTTTAACTATTTAGACTGTTGTCTTGTGCAAGTTAACCCATCTTTTGCTGACGGTCTGTGTTTCTTTTCCATTCTACTATTGTTATGCCTAATTCTAGGCTATTTTGGCAGCCATGGTTGGTGATGTGAATATTTACTTGAATGACTTGGACGATTCACATATTGCTGAGATTGAAATAATGATAGCTGAACAAAAACGGTAAAAGCTTTGTTATTTGAAGTTAATTAACTGTTTTATGCCCTAGTCGTAACAAGACTAATTTACCTGAAGAGCAGAAAATGAGGAATTTTATATCTGATTCTAGTTTTCTTAATGTTATGCTTGACTGCTTGTTATAAGGGCGATTCGTAGATTCTGTTGCATTCAGTTATGTTGATCATCATACATTCACATTTGCATGGTTACCTTTGTTTTTGGATTTTGTGTGTCAATTCTGTTATCTATAAGTGTACCCATTTTTCAGATACTCTGTATAATTTTATCTTCGTGTTCTATTTTTCCTTCGATTGCTTGGAATTATTGCTAGTGTAGTCGCGGCAAAGGGCTTGGTAAAGAGATTGTTCTTTTGATGATGGCATTTGCTGTGAGAAATTTTGGGGTCAAAAACTTCCGAGCTAAAATTGGAGAGTCAAATAAAGCTTCTCTCAGTCTATTCCAGAAGTTGGTATGTTTGTATCCCCACTATTGAGACTTAATTTTTGTATGCCCGATACATGTTTTTCTCTGAGGCAGTTGCATGTTGCATGGGCTGTTGCATGTTTTGACTTTTTTGTATATATTTAAGTTCTTGTTTAATGTTTTTATTGTTACAGTACAGTCATGTTCAGTGATTTGCGGTAGATTTTACAACATTATCAATCTATGAACATGACATGACTGGCAATACTATTACAGTATCACACATCATCGTTGTCTCATTTTGCATGTGGGGAATTGGAGTTTGCATTCCACATTTTCATCTCATATGAGTTTGCACATTGCACGTTCCTTTCATTTTTAACATCATTTATATTTGAGTTGCACTTTGCACGTTTCTTTTATTTTAACATCATTAGTATTTGCACCCCAAATTTGCTCCCCATGTTTAACAGGTATTTCTATCTTTTCGGCGCAAATATTAATACTTTAAACATTGAGGTGCAGGCTCAAATTAGATTAAGAAAGGTGGGGGTGCAAACTCCAGTCCCCCCTTTAAAATTCCATTTCTATGTTTTTTCTCAAGAAAGTTGCCACATGAAGAGCATCTGGCATAGAACTGTCACTTTGCTGCTTTCTTGTGAGAATTTATAGTGTTTGGGAACAATCCACAATTAAACAATACTAAATTTCATTTGGCATGAGGCTGGGTTGAAACTTGAAATACATTTGAATGATCTATTATGGTGCACTGACAAATCTGACAGCAGAAAACCTCTGATGTTATTGCAGGGATTTGCACAAACCTCTTACAGTCAAATCTTCAGTGAAGTGAGTTTGCAGCTGTGTTATTGTATACTCCCTCCGTTCCCCAATTAAGTTCTCACTTTTCTTTTTGGGTAGTCCCTAAATTAAGTTCACACTTTAATACTTTCCTTATTTGGCAAATAATCTACATCAAAACAGTGCCAAACAGTGCCAAACAGTGTCCAAACAGTGTCAAACAGTGTTTAAACAGTGCAAAACAGTGCACTCCACCGTAAAGTCAAATTTATTTTCTTAATATGTGTGAAGTCAAACCAGGAACTTAATTGGGGGATGGAGGGAGTACAATATAGCTTATTAATTATTATGTCATGTGTAAGTTGACATCCTCATTTGGTTTGGACAGGTAACACTGGAGTTACCATTGACAGAGGCAAAATGTGAGGAGCTTCTTCAACTGATTGATAAAATGGTTATACATTCATAGACCATGTATGATTTTTGTAACCAACGTCTAACTGCTTCCATAACACAGCAAAGCCCGTCTAGATTTTTTTATCGATGTGTAATTAGTTGGAAGGTTTTGAATGAGCTCCCAGTCTGCAAATGTTTGGATTTTTTTCTACTGCAATGGTTTTTATTGCTTTGGTTAATTCAAACCTCATCACAAGATTTGTTCTGCTTTGTCTGGGTTCCCCATTTTCTCTAGTGTTTTTTTGCTTGGTGTCTCACTTCGGTTTTCAGAGAAACATGAGCAGCAATTTCTACACTACAATTACATTCTATGTGCCTTCATACCGAAAACGGAAATTTGATTTTACTTTTTTTAGGATAAAGGGTAATTATATATATCAAGTATATCAACCAAAGAGTTTATGTACAAGTAAAGAGTTTATGTACAACCAAAGAGTTTATGTACGGAAATTTGATTTTACTGGTAGTACTAAGATGTCACCGAAAGATAACTGTAATCTTTTTTTTTTTTTGAAAACGATAACTGTAATCTTATTCACCTGCCCGAACTTGCAAGTTTAACGGTTTTGGTAAATCAATGTTGTTCCGTGCTGGTTCCAGCCAACCTTGAAAACGAGTATTTTGGAAAAATTGAAAATAATAATCACAACTGTTGTCGGTTCGCTAACAATAATCTCAACTATTGATTATTTTTGTATAATTTCAACTATATGGACCCGTCCGTCAATAATGGTCCATGACCAGATATTACCTGCTATAACAAGTGAATTTTAAAATTGGGCAGAAAATAAAAAAAAAGTGAATTTTAAATAGAAATTAAGCTTAAATATTAAAATTTGAGATTATTTATAGGGATTACTTGTTATATCTCTTCTCATCCATTTTAGAAACTATAAGAATTTATTTATAGCAGACCACGTTGGACCATTATTGGCGGAAGGTCCGAAGCAAGGTGCTACACCTTGTTTTTTTTTGCCCAAAATAAACCACACGAGGTGGGGGAGTGCCGGGGAACATCTCCCTAATTTATTAAATGAAGTTTAAAGGGTACAAAGGAAAAGAAATAATACATGGAAAGTCAAACTAAAGGAGAAAGGTACAGAGAAAATTAGAGTACATCAGCAGTAACAAGGTGCTACACCTTGTTACTTTGTATTATTATAGATAGATTATCATCATCTTCATCATTATTTTGAATTGAAAATATTCCAATTACTCCAATATTCATGTAACTCTTATTTTTTTAATGAGTATAAAGCATTAAATGTCTAATTGGATGGAAAAGCAAGATGCAACACCTTGTTACTTTATATTATTATAGATAGATTATCATCATCATCATTATTTTGAATTGAAAATATTTCAATTACTCCAATATTCATGTAAGTCTTATTTTTTAATGGGTCTGAAGCATTAAATGTCCAATGGAGGGAAAAGCAAGGTGCTACACCTTGTTACTTTATATTATTATTATAGATAGATAGATTATCATCATCATTATTATTTTGAATTGAAAATATTTCAATTACTCCAATATTCATGTAAGTTTTATTTTTTAATGGGTATGAAGCATTAAATGTCTAATTGGAGGGAAAAGCAAGGTGCTACACCTTGTTACTTTATATTATTATAGATAGATATAGATATTCATGTAACTCTTATTTTTAAATGGGTATGAAGCATTAAATGTCTAATTGGAGGGAAAAGCAAGGTGCTACACCTTGTTACCTTATATTATTATAGATAGATTTTAATGGGTATGAAGCATTAAATGTCTAATTGAAGGGAAAAGCATGTTACACCTTGTTACTTTATATTATTATAGATAGATATAGATATTCATGTAACTCTTATTTTTAAATGGGTATACAACATTAAATGTCTAATTGCAGGGAAAAGCAAGTTGCTACACCTTGTTACCTTATGTTATTATAGATAGATTTTAATGGGTATGAAGCATTAAATGTCTAATTAGGGGGAAAAGCAAGATGCTACACCTTGTTACTTTATATTATTATAGATAGATCATCATCATTATTTTGAATTGAAAATATTTCAATTACTTCAATATTATGTAACTCTTATTTTTTAATGGGTATGAAGCATTAAATGTCTAATTGGAGGGAAAAGCAAGGTGCTACACCTTGTTACTTTATATTATTATAGATATTATGTAACTCTTATTTTTTAATGGGTATGAAGCATTAAATGTCTAATTGGAGGGAAAAGCAAGGTGCTACACCTTGTTACTTTATATTATTATAGATAGATAGATAGATAGATAGATAGATAGATAGATAGATAGATAGATAGATAGATAGATAGATAGATAGATAGATAGATAGATAGATAGATAGATAGATAGATAGATAGATAGATAGATAGATAGATAGATAGATAGATAGATAGATAGATAGATAGATAGATAGATAGATAGATAGATAGATAGATAGATAGATAGATAGATAGATAGATAGATAGATAGATAGATAGATAGATAGATAGATAGATAGATAGATAGATAGATAGATAGATAGATAGATAGATAGATAGATAGATAGATAGATAGATAGATAGATAGATAGATAGATAGATAGATAGATAGATAGATAGATAGATAGATAGATAGATAGATAGATAGATAGATAGATAGATATGACACTCTTAACCAAGCATTCCAGCCCGGCTGGTTGTGATGTTACCGTGCCTAGTGAGAGGTCTCGAGTTCGAAACCCGCTAGACACGTAAGGGTTTGAAACTCAATGGAGTGAGTTTCAGCCCTCATTACTCCAGGCTCCTCCCAGCCCTCCTCCCCCAGACCCCCCGGAGTAAAAAAAAATGACGCTCTTGAGAGGTACCAGTCGTATTTTTTTACTTTTTATTTTTTTACTTTTTATTTTTTTACTCCACGGGAATCTAGGGGGTCTGGATTAATCAGGGCTGAAAGTCACTCCATTGAGTAAATTGGGGGACCTTAAGTACCAGTCGCATATCGAGAAAGACTGCAGCTTTTTGTCATAAACATGATAATTTTCTGTTAAAATGTCCCACACCGGAAAATTGAGAAGCACTAGAGTGCTATATTAAGCTTCGGGCTACTCCTCCTAACAGGTTGACCTTTTAGGATGGAACCCCGTGTCTTAACATGGTATCAGAGCCTAATCGATCCATGGTGTGGGGCCCCTTATGAAAAATGATGACACGATAAAAAAAATTGACAAACCGATGAAAAAATGAATGACGACACGATCCAGACGAAGTGTCTGGTCGTGAGGAGGGGTGTTAAAATGTCCCACACCAGAAAATTGAGAAGCACTAGAGTGCTATATTAAGCTTCAGGCTACTCCTCCTAACAGGTTGACCTTTTAGGATGGAACCCCGTGTCTTAACATTTTCTTTCATAAAAAATTAAATAACCAATATGTTCTCATTATGAGACAAGCGTCTAGTCTCAACTAAACCGGTTTAGGTCAAAATGGTTGGATTGCCAAGGTTTGGTTGTGGAACTCGACCACCCCTAGTGCAAGGTCATGTGTATCAATGTGTAAGTGTATAAAAATAATGAAAAAAAATTATTGTAAAAGTGAGGAAATCATATAAAAAGACCCAAGATGTGTCCTTTCTTTTTTCAATACATATTACTATAATTATTTCTGTAAAAAATAAGTAATTGTTGTGCTTCTTTTTTTTTAGGAAAAGTAATTCTTGTGATTATTATTACACTTTAATGCAGCTAGTCCTCACTCAAGCATCCCTTCTGCCCATCAGGACGCCCCTCTCCAGCTTTACCGGGGACGATTCTATCGACGCAGAGGGCGAGACAAATCTACCCATGGAGAAAGAAAAAAGGAAACCAAAATAATTGCCATGTGGGCTGCCACTTGTGAAACCGGTTGGTAACCTAATAAAACGTCTGTTGATTTTTATCCCGTACATCCGAAAAGCCCAACATAAACTTTGGATATTAAGGATGATGAATATAGAATATAAATTTGGTATAACACTCGATTTTTACGTGGAAATCCGGAAAGGGAGAAAACCACGGGACTTTTTAGGCTAACGTTCAAGCCCACTCTTTCTCATTAATATGCTCTCCTCACCATTTACATAGTACAACACTTGAGATCCATTAATGGAGGTTTGAACAACTAAGCTATGAAGAATAAGCAGTAGTGAGGAAGAAGAAACTCCCCTAGGAGAGAAGAGCCAAAGATTAGCTCCCTTAAAATGGAAGCCTTGCTTCCTATTTATAGAGGGGGGGGAGCCTTTCTTCCCTGATGGGCCAGAAAAGGCTTTAATGGGCAGAAGCAAGCCCAAGTAGGCCGAGTGGGCCTAAATGGCTCTAAACGGGCCTCGCCAACTGAGCTTCATACCAGGGTGATGTCTTGGGCTTCTGAACAGTAATAAGCCGGGATAATATACCCCAACACAATTCCCCAAGTTTCTTGAGTAGTGAGCCTGCGAATCTACTTGAGAAAGTATACTCCTGCTCACGTCCTTCCCCGCCTTCCCTGAATCAGTGTCTTTGAACAGTCTTGGACGCAAGGCATGCATAAGTGATAGGTAAGGTGCAGTCCCCAATTAAATGTCTAATTGGAGGGAAAAGCAAGGTGTTACACCTTGTTACTTTATATTATTATAAATATATTCATGTAGCTCTTATTTTTCAATGGGTATGAAGCATTAAATGTTTAATTGGAGGGGAAAGCAAGGTGCTACACCTTGTCACATTATATTATTATAGATAGATCATCATCATCATCATCATTATTTTGAATTGAAAATATTTCAATTACTCCAATATTCATGTAACTCTTATTTTTAATGGGTATGAAGCATTAAATGTCTAATTGGAGGGGAAAACAAGGTGCTACACCTTGTTACTTTATATTATTATAGATAGATTACTCCAATATTCATGTAACTCTTATTTTTTAATGAGTATGAAGCATTAAATGTCTAATTGGAGGGAAAAGCAAGGTGCTACACCTTGTTACTTTATATTATTAAATCAACAGAACTTTTGGTATACATAGACAACAAGATCTTAGATTCAATGTCTTAATTTATTTTTATTTTTTTACCTGAATGAGACTTGTATATGAAGCATGTGTGTGTAGAGGAGGACCGGTAGAAAATTAAGTGCAGATAAATTGTAACACGAAGGACATTCTAATATGCAGTATACAAATATAAAGAAGACATTGAGTTATATAAATCATTTATATAATAAATAAGTATAATAAAAAGCTTAAAGAAGGTTCAATTCTCATCAATCGCTCATCA